AAGATGAAGTGTCAAAAAAATCTAACATAATGTGCCAAAACCTGTGAACCTTTGACCCTCATTTTTATTTTTGTATTTTTTGGATAGGCATATATTCTGGCAACTCAAAACACCTCAGATAGATAACAGATGTAAGTACAGACAAAAGTAAAGATATGTACATGTAAATATAAATATAGATGCACATAAAGATGTGTGCATGCACATGTATACACACACACACACACACACACACAGAGGCAGAAACAAAAACAAAAATGAAAAAATACATACAATGCAATGCAGGTCAGACAAAAGGCTTGATACAAAAAGCTCTTATTAACTGACAAGGGAAAGATGAGCAACTCTTTAGAAAAAAGATGGACTTTTCATTATGGGACTATAAAAGACCAAAAAGTTTGATACACCTCTGTTAGAATGAGTAAGGAATTAGTATAAACTGGTGCAGTCATTTAGGAGGACAATCTGACATCCCTTATATAATTTTAAAGGTATTTGCCCTTTGATATAGCAATCCTATTGCTAGGAATTTATATCTATATATACACTCACTCAAGTCATGAAAAATACCAGTAAAAAAGGTGTTTATTGCAAAAAGGATTCATCATAAGCAAAGGAATAACATTAACCAAAAGTCCACAGAGAAATGTAGCAGACTGTATTTTCCAAAGATGGCTTTGGAAACAATAGACCACTGTCCCACATGCTCTTACTAAAGGTTACCTGCTCAGGAAGAACTTATGCATTGAATTTGAATTTGGAATTATGCCTTAAAATCCCACTATAACATCACTAAAAAAAGAAAAGAAAAATCTTTAAGAATAATTTCATAAAAGTCTGGAAATATTTTTGCAATTATAATTAATTGGGGATCTCCTTAATTATAGAAGCCAAATGGGAAATTTAAAACATCAACAAAACTGTATGATATTCAGTATTAGTTAATGGTTATAACACATAAGCCAAAACAACAAACAAACCAAACAAGCACACAAAGGAAATAAAGCTGTTCTTTTCTTTCCCTTTTCTCAAATAGTCACTTTATTCCTTCTGTCATGTACACAAATCAGTGAAGTGCAGGACTGTTGCAACAAATCACTGAGTATGATAGAAAAATGAAGCTACAGTTAACCAGTGAACTTCTGATAACTGCCTCATTGCTGAGGTGCTCACACAGGTGCTACCACCCTTAATCAGTGAGCTCCCATTGCTTTTCTTGTTGACTAAACTATCCCTGCACATTCGTGTTACTCAGAAAGTATCACAGATCTTGCTCTAGTCAGAAGGGCTTTCAAGTAGATTGGCAGTTCCTGAAAAAATGGAATTCTAAACAAAGAATTACTATATGATCCAGCACTTCCATGGCTAGGTTCACACCCAAAAGAACTGAAAATAGGCTCGAACAGATACTTGCATGCTAGTAGTGTTCATTACTCACAATGGACAACCCAAAGTAGAAATAACCTAAGTGTCTGATAGCTGAATGGATAAACAGAATGTGCTACATCCACACAGTATTATTCAACCCTAAAAAGGAATGAGGTTCTGATACATGCTACAACACAGATGGACCTTGAAAACATTATGCTAACTGAAATAAGTCACACACAAGAGGACAAATAGTCTCTGCTTCCACTTATCTGAAATATCTAGAGAAGGCAAATTCATAGAGACAGAAAATAAATCAGAGGTCACAAAGGGCTGAGGGTAGTTACTGCTTGAAGGGTAGGAACTGGTGTTTGGGATGATGAAACATTTTGGAAATAGAGAGTGGTGATGGCTATAAAACATTGTTAATGTAACTTAACCTATTAATGTACATTTAAAATGGTTAGAAATGGAAAATATTTTGTTATAGAATTAAAATGGTTAGAAATGGAAAATATTTTGTTACAGAAATTTTATCACAATAAAAATGAAAAAAAGACTTCGAATTCAATGGCCAAGATATTTTACATTTTATAGGCAAACTCTGTCAAAGCAGAAACATTTAACACTATAAATAGATCCTCCTAGTGATCTAAGTCACCTAAGGTCTACGGCACTGACATGGACTGTGAAATAAGTTAGTCATATAAACTCTCTCACAAAGGAGCTCTGTACTTACCTAGTGATCTAAGTCACCTAAGGTCTACGGCACTGACATGGACTGTGAAATAAGTTAGTCATATAAACTCTCTCACAAAGGAGCTCTGTACTTAAGGGGCTGTATACTTAAAGGAGCTCTGTAATACTAACAGCAAGGACATGCAGAAGCATTCAGTACATCAAACAGATAAAATGTCTGATTCAGAAGGATTTGGTACAAACACTAATGGACACTTACTTAAAAGTCTTAGCCAGACTGGCTCAACTAGAAAAAACAACATACTGATACTGCTAGACCTAATTTCAAAGCTTAAATGGGAGTAGAAGCATATGCATTTAGTTTATTTTTTTATTTGTATTTGTGATCAATACTGGTATTTTATGGTGTGAAACTTAAGGTCTGAAGCCTTTAATTAAAATAGTCTAGGGGATAGTAAGAGGAAAAAGGACTCAACATAGGGTTAGTTAATATGCAACTGCTACATAGAGACCAGTTAGGTCATATAATCCTAGGATGATATGAAATTACTGAATTTCTATACTAATGAAAAAGTATCAATCAGATATGTTGCTTTACTTCCTGATTTGTCTGCATGTCCTTCCCCTATTTTTTCATAGAGTATTCTCCCTGTATATCTCTCTACCTCATCCTAACCTCTCACCTCCAATATTACTTTTTCCTTATATTTCAATGAAATTTTAGCAACACTAATTGTTTACATTTAAGTGAGTACAATTAGATTATGGAATGGGAACATACACATTTTTCAGAAAATCATAAAAGCTTACTAAAATATCTTTTTAAAAGAAATTATAGGAACTCGCTTTAGTTAGGAAAATGAATGTTTTTATACCTAAGAGATATTTATGAAAAATAATGCCTTTAATTGTTTAAAAAAATGTTGGAGATTTTGTAATATATCGTGTTTATTTTTATCTAGATACAAAATTTCTGTAATTTTAATGGAAAAAGTTCATTAATATGCAGTAAAATATACAGTAATATGCTATTTCTAAAATTTAGTGTACTACTCCTGACTCTTCACAAAGCAATGATTAATTTTATGATTAATTTCCCAAAATAATGAATAATTAACTTTGTAATTACAAAGCCAAACTATTTTTTTTGATAGTGTTTCCCCCAGTTCTCAGTTGGAAAATCAAAAATATGGTTTTAAAATTTCAGTAACCTTTTATGTCTGTTCCTCTTCTTGTATGGTTATGAGAAAATATTATTATGACTCTCAACTTGGTTCTCAGAGAACTGTGTGAAAACGTAGGTTTCTTTTTTAACCTATGTAACTTAAATATGAATTATATTACCTAAACATTCATTACATATTCACATAATAATGACAATAATAAAGGAAAAAGCATAAAAGTCATTGTCTCTGCAATGAATATATAGCATCTTTTCTGGTTAGTGGTTTGCTTCTCATGTCACTGTAATTGCTCAATAAAGACTGTATTCTTTACCGTACATATGTTTCGACAAACCATCTGAACAGACGAAAACTGTAGAATGCTGTCAGAATATAGAATATGCAGAAAATACTAATTTCACAGCTCAAAGTAATCCATTTTATGACGGTTCCTAGCAAAACTTAGAATGAAAAGAATAGGAATCTGTAAGTATAATACACTGAATTTATCTCTATACATCTTGATAACTAGAAACTATACAGCTCTACAATTTTTTTTATGTAGAAATGTTGAAAAACATTACTTTGAATAAATCTTGATTATTGATGAATTAGGCAGAATACTTCCCTAATAAGATCATTTGTCTTTGGAAGAGAGAGCAAGAGATACACTAGACTCTGCAAAGAAAGAGAATGCAAGTGGGTCTCTTTTTGTTATTGTTATTTATTATCACTGACCATTTACATCTTCCCCCTCTAACTAAAAGGAAAAATCAAAGAGTTTTGCAGTTCCCACATAGCAGAGGCAATTATCTATCCCTCAAATATCCATTGTCTCTTCTTTCTCAAATTCACAGGGCCTTAATTAATTAGCTGGGCACCCACCACCCAGGTAATGTTTCTCAGCCTCTCTTACATTGGGATGTAGCCACATGACTTAGGTTTTGGCCAACGAGTTGTAAGCAGTAGTGAAATGTGGGAATTCCAGAAATCCTACTTTAAAAGAAAGGACACAACCTTCTTCTGGTAAGACTCTCATAGGGAGTTGCTATGGGATTGGCAGAGTGTACATAGTCTCAGGCAGTCATCATTGGAAAGTAAGCTATCAATAAGGCCCATTATTACCATTTTACACACAGGAACTTTTGACTAACTTGCTCAAGATTTCAGTTCATAACTGGAAAGGCTGGGATTAAACTCAAGTCTCCATAATTCCAAAGTCTATACCATTAACCACTGTGCTATAACTTCACTCAAAATCCTTAAAATTCCTCATTCTTTAATTGCATGGAGGAAACTAAAAATTTTTAAGTCACTCTTCGGTGGAAGCAGTAGGATTATCAATTCCCTTCATTTTAAAACCTATAATAATTTCAGTGGGCACTTAGGAGCCTGAAAGAACCCATAAAAATCTTGGTATATTGGCTAATTTTTTTAACTAATTTTTAGTTATTTTAGGTATATAGAACCCAATATTTGAATTTAATAAAACAAATGACAGAAAGAACAAGCTTTATTAGCAAGAGCCCTGAAGAAAAAATTCTACTTCTTACTTTAGCAATAAAGACAGAAACATATCCAGTATTCTAACATATCTCTTAAAAGATTTAGTTGTAGAATGACTTTAACATGCTTATTCTTCCTAAAAGACACCGAACTGCAAACTACAGCCAATTATACCATATTGAAAAAAAAAAAAAAAGAAAACTAAAGTCCTAAGCTGAAAGTTATTTAAGAGCAAACCATAAAAAGAACTTCTGAAGACAATACCTTCAATAGTTGCCTGCATTTCTTCTGTTTTTGGAACAAAAATTCTAATTACACTTGTGTTGATATAAATCAAAGGTAAATTGCGTGAAGTCAGTGTATGGGTCCTCATAGGCTGACCAGGAGATTTTCTTTTCTCTTTTTGGGTCCTTGGTAGTTTTGCTTGAAATATACTTGCAATGGCATTAAGTAAAGGAAAACAAAGGACAATATCAAAAGCTTGTGCTGAAAGAAGAATTTCATGAAGAAAATGAGGGGAACCATCCGTTAAACCTTCAGATAACTTATGAAAACTTCTTCGCTCATTTCTTGATGTTAACTTGTGGCGGACATTTTTTGTTACAGCTTTTGTATATGTCAAAGAGAGAAATCCATGCTGCTGATGAGAGCCATCTAGAAGCTTTGCAGTTGTCTGTTCCAGAAAAAGGAAATCACAATACACATTTAATTAAAAAAAAGAAATTATTTGAAAATAGAAAATGATCTCAGTTGGTATTATAAACTTTTATTATGTCTACACCTCTTAATGAACACATTAATGATTAATTCTGTAGATGGGGCAAAACCTTCTAAGACTGTTAGAATGACTAAGCATAAAGTTAGGAATCCTGAGTTCTAGTTCTAGATCTTAAGAGAGGTTATCTCTTTGTGCCTGTGTCTGTGATTTCCACATTTTCTGTTATTACAGAAAAGTAAAAATAAATTTTCTGTTTTTCAGAATGTGGAACAGATCATCTCTAGATTTTAACTTTTCAATCTTGACAATTTTTCATTAAGAGTAGTAATATGCTATCAAAATATACACAGAAGGGTTGTTTATGGAGGTGAAATTGAAATAACCACATTATCTATTTCCATTTGTAATCAACAAAATGAATAGAAAAGATAATTGATTTTGCTTAACATTTAAGGAGCAGAGCTTTTGCTTTGATAATTTGGCTAATTTATATGAAGACTGAGCCCATAAAAAGAGCTTTATTGATACCATGCTTTGATAAATGAACTAAACATTTACTGCATGTTTACTGGAAATGGTAACATGACACAAAAATAAAACATCTGTTTTTAGAACTTTCCTGTTTTCAATGGCTATCATGTTACTTACAAAAAATAACTATGAACTTTCCAACAATTCATATTCCTTGGGATTAATATTACATTAATATATATACTATTTCAGACTAAGCTTCTTCAATTAACTCATGTTCAAACTGCACACTATAAAAAAATTATAGTAAAATAGCATAGTTTTAAGAGTAAAGTGAAATGCATACTTTGTATTTCTCAACATACTGAAAGTACAGATCCTGAGAAAGGTTTTGTGAACCCATCAATGTATATAAAATCCTATGTTGCAAATTACCCAACACAAAATTAGAGTTAAATTTTTATACTCCATATTCCCAACCTCCTTTCCCAAGGACTGATAAAGTTGTTTAGGTTATTAGGGTCCAAAGAGTGATGTTAAAAGAGTTAGTGAAGTGAGGAAGAAGAAAAATAAAAGGAAATATAGTCACATAGAAAGGAAGAAAAAGTTAGGAGTAGCAAAGCAGCAATGTGTCTTGAGACTATGTTATCCCATCATTAGTAAACCTCCATTTTGCTTCCATTTTATTCCTCTCTTATTGATGCCTATCACCCAATGGCATGGTGAGAGAAAAACAGTACGCAATTCAGTTAGCACCGTGAATTTTGTTTTTAATCAGGACTTTACTGTAAAGAATGGGTTAATAACATTTTCCCTTAATATACTTTTTTTAAGTTAATTTTATGACCATTAAAAAAACTTGAAACAGTCATTAAATGGATGTGCAATATATATTTTCTTTTAATTGCCCTATGTTCAGAGCATTTTGTACTGTTTTCCAACTTTCTAACTGCCTCTATTGTAATCTCCCTTCCCTTCTGCTTTCTATAGTCAAAACAAAAGGAAACACAGTAAGAAACAATGCTACCAGTCTTTCCCCCATGCTGCCAGGCTTCAGGAAACAGTGGATGGCGAAGGGTGGCAGTGGTATGGCCCTAGTGGAAGAGGCCACAACAACACTGATTGTCTGTAGGTGTCTAAGCTGAACTTTGGGGAGGAGGGTAGAATCAACCAATAATGTAAATAACCCAAATGAAATCTTCATTAATGGAAACATCTGAAGTCTGCAAATAGTATAAAAGGTGTTTCAATGTGTAAGTATTTTGATTTGGAAAAATATTTTTAAACATATTGAATGTAGTTACTCTTGAAAGGTAAACTCCCATGAAAGAAAGTTTGCTTGCTGAGCTGCTGTGCCCCTCCCTTAACACAAGGGGGAAAAAATGAAAGTATGAATACTAGCTACAGCTAATCTAAATATTACTTCTCATATACTAATAATATTTTGTACTATTTAAAATGAAAAGTTCAAAAACTGATAACTAAAGAAATGTTTATAAAAATTTAAAATTTAGAAAAACAGCAAAAAATTTTTGAAGGCATTAATAGTAATTCGTTTTTCCTTTCAGGAACATGCTAAAATTATTAAGAATGTTTCTCATGGACACTAATGAACATTCAAAGAGAAGAAAATAAATCTAAACAGAACTTCCACTGACATAAAAACCAAACTTAGAGACTTTTTTTTTTCCAAGGTAGGCTAGAAAAAATTCAAAAATCAAATCAGAAAATAGTATTTGCTATGCAAATATAGTAGTGAACATTAACTCTAGGACCATTATTATTTAAGTATTTGGTTAGTTTTTATAATCTTTTTAAATACATAGATCTTAAATACCTTTTTAACTACAAGAGGGGAAAAATAAGCAAATAGTTCACACAGGCTAAGAGAATATCTAGTAACATTTGTACTAAATAAATTTTTAAGAGAATTGCTATTACCATTGTGATAATTACTTTTAATATTTTTAAATTATATGCATCTTCATTGACTTAAGTAATTCCATTAAATGTATTAGCTTAATAAGATATTCAGTTATATTGTAGCATTAGGAAAAACAAGGTTCTAAACTTCTAAAAGCCACTTATGTACAGTCTAGTGTTCATCTTCTATCCAGTCAATGATAGATGTACAGCCCTGTCCAGATTCAAGAGAGCACTAAATAAGGTATTTTGAATTGGTTGTGAGAAAGCAATGGCATAATAATAGGAAGGAAAAAATAGCAATTTAAATAAGAATCATAGTAGAAATGACAAAAGCGGTATGGTCAACTCTTGATCATTCAATGCATGCACAATTTAAAAAACATTATATTTTAATGTCTTAATTTGACTTTCTTATGCTGATGGTAAAATTAGTTCATAATTAGAAAACCAGAGTACAAATAGCATATGCAAGTAACCCAGAAACAAATTATAGTGGAAAATCAGTCTATAATTTAAAAATACACTATAGTTCATTTACTATGTGGATGATATTGAGGGAGATGAAAATCAAGAGTTGACTCTATGGATACTTCAATTGCTTCTCTGGGTTCCTGTTAATGGGAGTTCTGTAGCATAATTTAAAAATGATTTCTTACAGAAGGAAAGAAGCCAGAGCAATTACTGAAAGGGTCCTGCTTGGTGATGGGTCGAACCAACAAGGTGCGTCTGTTCAGCTTGTCAGTACAGGAAAGGAAGACACCTCCACAATGCCCCAGAGACCAACACTCTTCCCCAAGGCTTGAGGTGATGGACAGGAGCAAAGAAGGTGAAAAGACAAAAAGCGATAAAAGCCATAAGCAAAAAAATCTGGATAATTTAAATTCTGCTCAAGTTTGCAAAGATTTAGGTTTGAGCCACTGCAAGATATAGCCTCTGTCTGGACCATCTTCTGCAAAAGCATTGTTAATGAGAGTAAACAAAAATAATCATTGTTTTTAGTGTAAAATTACTACTTTTAGTTCATGATGAAGGACGATCCCGCATGAACTTACTTATGAATGGGAACATTTCTAAAAAGTTAACACAACAATACATTAATGATAAAGTATATTAATAAAAGTAACCCTACGTTAGCCTTTGGAAAACTTAATTGCTATAACAGGAAAATGGTTACAAAACACAAGCAGCTTAAAGGAATAACAGTTTTATTTAATAATGTAATCCTGAAAGAACAGGTCAAAAAGAATTTACTCTGAGCTCTAATTTTTGTAACCATTAGTCCTATTGCATGAAAGAACAAAGATAAACGGCTTATAATATATTTTCAAAAATTATAATTACTAAATGAGTCTCACCACAGGTTTTTCTTTGCACTGTAGAAATACTCCTTCAAAATGTCCTGACTGCCAACCTTCCCCTGGCCTGGAAAACATAAGTTCACCTTATCTATTCTCTTCAATTTTTCTGAGTTAAAAAAATTGAGCATATTTAACCATTTCAAAAGTTATGATGTAAACAACACTACACTGAACTAAAACGTGGATCTAACAATGCAATCAATAGAACAACTTATATTAGCATCATAGCATGGTAGTTTTACAAAGAGGCATTTATCTTAATGGTAAATTGTATATTTATTTGATTGGTTCTTTCTTTCTTTTCCACCCATGAGACTGTTAAGATTCAGAAAGGAATTATTTATGTTTATTTTTGTTAAGCACTATATCCTCAGTGCTTGGAATAGTGCCTGGCACATAATATACACTTAACAGATATTTCCATTATATGAATGAATAAATTATCTAAATATATAAAACTTATACAAATATAACAGTAAAGTCATCTAGAACATAGACTGCAATATTCACATCAAGAAATTAATTCTAGAATATAAGTGTCATAGATCATTTACAAAGATCATTTTGTATAGATATACCATTCAAAAAGGTACTTAAAAGTTAAACATCCCATTATCAAAAATCAATTAATAATTCACTGTTAACAGAACAAAAATAATGCTATGCTTGGAAAGAATACTACTATAACAGGTCTTATATATATCCAATAAAATATTTTGAACTTCACATTTATGACACAATTTTTCAGCTGTGACTGATCTGATATGATATATGTAATAAAGAATAAAAATTCAAATGTTTTTAATGTAGAATTAGAAGCCTATTAAATTAAAAAACTGTTTTGAGGTTATATAAAGCAGCAATAATGGTGCAGAAACCTGTGCATTCAATAAATTATTCTTGAATAAATATAATGAATCCAGGAAAATTTGGACTTCAAGGCTGTTTCTAAGCCAAAATAATATGAAATTGAAAATACGATGCTGTTTAAAAAATAAACTTAAAAACACATGCTTGAGTTTTATGGTATGTGAATTATATTTAATTTAAAAAAAACAAACTCCAGGGTAGTAGTATAAAGCAAAAAAACCAGAAAGCACTTATATTTCTATTTTGAAAAAATTAATGAAAAAATTGTTATATAGTTTTATGAAATATTTAACACTTTACTTTTTTTTTACCACCAATGATTATTATTATAAGCAAATACGATTTGTTTATAATTAAAATTTTGATAGAAATGTACTAGGGAAGGAAAAATATGGTTTTAGGAACACCCACCACCATACTTCAATGTATGTTAACCACAGATGAGATAAGGTATGTCTCCTAAGTGCAAAACGAACATAAGATGTGGCTCCATTTCAATCTCTGGTATAGGGAATTGATGGGGTGTATATAGCAAAAGCTTTAGCTATCAACTATGTCCCAGGAGTCTTAGTAAATATATCACATCACAACACACTGTGTCAGGTGACTAGTAAAAGCAGCCTATTTTGTTTAATATGGCAATGTGAATACTTCTGAATGGATTTGCCATCTTATGAATAAAACTTTATTATATTCATATGTAAATGATTATCAAGTAAAATTAACCATTTTTTTGTTAAGAAACCTCTTTGGGAATAAGTATAATATTTTTAAAAAATAGCTTATCAAATTAAAATATAATAATTCTTATACAGGTTTTGTTCAAAGAAAATTATAGTCTTCCCATATTCATTATTCATTATTTACCTGCTTCTATAGTGATCAATATTGAAACTTTCTATTTTACATTTCACTTTGGTATATACATCCTGGACATCTATGGAAGCACTGAGATCTTCTAGTTCACTGACNATATATATATATATATATATATATATATATATATCCTTGACATTTACAGAGGGCCTGAGACTTTAGAATCATTAAGAGTCTGCAATAATAAGAAAATTAATATAAATATAGTTCTCGGAATTAACATAATATACCTATTTCAAGACAGAGGAAATCACAGTTAATATCTGAATTGCTGTATCTGATTCCACTTTATATTTGCAACACTTTGAGTGACAATGCTATAATGTATCAATATGATCATCGAAGAAATTACCTCATGGCTTCTGGAATACATTTTAATATAAACAGGAAAAATTTCAGGTATTACATTCAATATGTTGATATTGCTAATAGAAATCACTTGTATTAGAGCCAGCGATGTTTATTTAATTTAAATGACAATAATAAACAAAATTAAGTCTACCATTTATTCTACAAACAATGTTTAATATTTTATCTTTTCAGTAAAGAAGAAAAGTAATCCTGTACCTGAGCCTTTATTTTCAGGATGCGGAGCAAAGAGCTTTACAGTAATTTTAGGGAGCACCCACTGCATCCACAGACTAACACGTCCACTGGACCCACCAATGTTACTTGTAGTTTGTTCCAAGGTAACAGAATCTGAGAATGGTGAGTCATCACCTGCTTGCACAGAATCTCCCTGGAGTGAAAAACAACAACAACATGTTCTCATTTAAATAAAAATAACTAAAATACATTGTAATTTTAAATCTGCAATTATTACTTATAATTTTTACATATCATAGTCTAAGGTTAATCATATAAATGCTTATTCTAATATGTAATGCTAATAATATGAACATATACTAATTACATGGTTTCTATAGTTACAAAAAAATTGGACAGAAGACCTGAATAGACAGTTTGCCAAAGAAGATACACAGATGGCCAACAGACATATGAAAAGATGCACAACATGGCTAATCATATCTCTCACACCAGTCAGGATGGCTATCAACATGACAAAAAGTAACACATCTTCAGTTGGATGTGGAGAAACGGGGACTCCCATATACTGCTGGTGGGAATGTAAATTGGTGCAGCCACTATGGAAAGCCATGGGCAGCTTCTCAAGAAACTAAAAGTAGAAATATTATATGACCCAGCAATTCCACTTTCAGGAATCTATCCAAAGAAAACAAATCACTGATTTGAAAAGATATATGCACTCTCCTGTGTATTGTTGCATTACTTACAATATCCAACCTATGGAAATAACCTAAATTGCTCATCAATAGCTAAATGGATAAACAAGATGCGGTATATAAAATGGGATATTAATCAGCCATGAAAGAGAGTGGAATCTCGCCATTTGCAACAATGTGGATAGACCTAGAGGGTGTTATGCTATATGAACTAAGTCAAGATAGAGAAAGAAAAATATCGTATGAGTTCACTTATATGTGCAATCTAAAAACAAAACAAATGAACAAAGAAACCAAACAGAAATAGACTCATAAGCACAGAGAACAGACTTGGTGTTTCCCATGGGAGAGGAAGGGAAGGGGACTGGTGAATCAGGTGAGGGGGGCAAAATATAATGTTTGATATCTTGATCTAGGTGGTTACATGAGTGTATACACATGCCAAATTCAACAAACTATGCATTAAGACTTGTGCAATTTATTGTTGGCCTTCACACAAAAATTAAAATAAAATACATACAGGAAGTGAATATACCTAAATAGAAGGCATGTCTATGATAATAAGAGCAGGATTTTTTGTTTTGTTTTCAATAAAGTTTTACTTGTCTTCCCTAATTTTGAGTGTTAAGAGTAATGGCTTGAATAAGAGATTACAGGCTTCTGTTATGAGAAAATGTCCACAGAAAACAGTATACTGATCATGTTATACTTTCTATGAAATTTTAAGGGAGGTTTTTTTTGTGTGTTTTTTAATTTTATAATTCCTTTTTGATTTATTCCACTTAGTCATCAATCAATCATTTTTTAAGTTGGAATATAGTTTATATATGTTATATTGGTTTCAGGTGAACTTAGTCATTCTTCAATTATATATATTACTAAATGCTCACCGTAAGAGTAGTAACAATCTATCACCATATAAAATATTATGAGGTGTATTGCCTATGCCATAATTCCATCCCTGTGACTAGGTTATTTTATAAACTGAAGTTTGCACCTCTTTATACCCTTCACCTATTTCACCTGCTCTCACTGTCACATGATAACCAACTTGTCTGTTTTCTGTGCTTATAAGAGTCCAGTTCTATGTTGTTTCTTTTGTTTTTAAGGTTCCACATGGCACACAAAGGGTATTCATCTTTCTTTGACTTGTATCACTTGTATCACTTGTATACCATAATACTCTCTAGGCCCATCCACATTCTCTCAAATAGCAAGTTTCCTTCTTTTTTTATGGCTGAATAATATCACACTGTATATATGTAGCACACCTTATTTATCCATTCAGCTATCGATGGAACTTCCATTGCTCCCAGATGTTGGCTATCATATTTTGTTATGCAATAAACATAAGGGTATAAATATCTTCTTCAAATTAATGATTTCTTTTTCCACTGGTAAATTCCCAAAAATTGAATTGCTGGGTCACACAGTATATAAATTTTCTTTTTTGAGAAACCTCCTATTGCTTTCTGTAGTGGCTACATCAATTTAAACCCCCACCAGCAGTATACCAGGATTCCCTTTATCCACATCCGCACCACCACTTTTCATTTTTTATTTTATTGATACTACCATCCTGGATGATGTGAGGTGATATCTTACCATAATTTAGATTGGCATTACCTGATGATTAGTGATGTTGAGCACCTTTCATGCACATATGGGCATGTGCATGTCTTCTTTAAAAAATTGTATATTCAGGTCCTCTGCTCATTGTTTTAATTGAATCACTTGCTTTTCTGGTGTTGAGTTGTATAAGTTCTTTAGAAATTTTGGATATATTAGCCCTTATCATATATACCATTTGCAAATATATTGTCCCATAGAGTGGACTGCCTTTTCATTTTATTGAAGTTACCATTGCTTTGCAGAAACTTTCAGTTTAAGGTAGTCCTACTCCTTTTTCTACTTTTATTTCCCTTCCCTGGGGAAACTTATACAAAAGAAATATCTAATATTAATGTCCAAGAGTTTAGTGTCTTATGTTTTCTTCTAGGAGTTTTAAGGTTTCACATCTTATAGTTAGGTGTTTAATCTATTTTGTTTATTTTTCTATATGGTATAAGGTAAAGCTCCCATTGCATTATCTTGCATGCAGATGTCCAGTTTTCCCAAAACTATTTATTGAAGAAACTGTCATTGACCATTGTATACTCATGCCTTCTTTGTCATATACTAACAGATCATATGAGTGTGGGTTTATTTTTGGTTTATCTATTCTGTACCATTGGTGTATGTATCTATTCTTGTGCCACTACCATTTTTATTGCTTTGTAATACAGTTGAAGTCAGGGAGCATACTACTTGATGTGTTCTTCTTACAAGACGGCTTGGCTACTCCACGGCTGACCCAAGAAGAAACAGAAAATCCTAGGAGACCAATTACCAGCAACATAATTGAACTGGTAATCAAAAAATTACCTAAGAACAAAACTCCTGGCACAGATGGCTTCACTGATGAATTTTATGAAACATTTAGTGAAGAACTAATACCAATCCTCCTTAAAATTTTCCAAAAACTAGAAGAGAAGGAAATACTTCCCAAGTAATTCTATGAGACTGGCATCACTCTAGTACCAAAACTAGGCAGAGACACCACAAAAAAAGAAAATTACAAACTGACATCCTTGATGAAGATAGATGTAAAAATTTTTAACAAAACATTAGCAAACCAAATTCGATAATATATCAAAAAGATCATCCATCGTGATCAAGTCAGATTTATTCGAGGGATGCAAGGATGGTACAATATTAGAAAACCCATCAACACTATACACCACATTAACACAAAGAAGTACAAATATCACATGATCATCTACGTAGAACCTGAAAAAGCATTTGACAAAATTCAACATCCATTCATAATAAAAATTCTCAACAAAATGGGTATAGAGGGCAAGTACCTCAACATAATAAAGGCCATATATGGCAAACCCACAGACCACAACATATTTAACAGTGAAAACCTGAAAGCTTTTCCTTTAAGATAGGGAACAAGACAAGGATGCCCACTCTCACCACTTTTATTTGACACATTACTGGAGGTCTTACCCACCACAATTAGATGACACAAAGAAATAAAAGGCATCCAGATTGGTAAGGAAGAAGTTAAATTGTCACTGTGTACAGATGACATGTTATTGTACATAAAAAACCCTAAAGAATCCACCCCAAAACTACTAAAACTAATATCTGAATTCAGCAAAGTTGCAGGATACAAAATCAATACAGAAATCTGTTGCATTCCTATATACTAACAATGAACTAGCAGAAAGAGAAATCAGGAAAACAATTCTAGTCACAGTTGCATCCAAAAGAATAAAATACAAGGAAGTGAAAGACCTATACCCTGAAAACTACAAGACATTCATGACAGAAATTAAAGAAGATACCAATAAATGGAAATACATCCCATGCTCATTGATAGGAAGAATTAATATTGTCAAAATGGCCTAAAGCCTGCCTAAAGCAATCTATAGATTCAATGCAACCCCTATCAAAATACCAATGGCATTCTTCAACAAACTAGAGCAAATCATTATAAAATTCATATGGAACCACAAAAGACCCCGAATAGCCAAAACAGTCCTGAGAAGGAAGAGTAAACCTGGGGGGATTACAATCCCTGATTTCAAGCTCTACTACAAAGCTACAGTAATCAAGACAATTTGGTACTGGCACAAGAACAGACCCACAGACCAATGGAACAGACTAGACAACCCAGATATAAACCCAAGCAAATATGGTATATTAATATATGATAATGGGGCCATGGACTACAAATGGAAATGACAGCATCTTCAAAAACTCACTTTGGGAACACTGGACAGCTACATGCAAGAGAATGAAACTGGATTATTGTCTATCCGCATACACAAAAGTAAACTTGAAATGGATCAAAGATCTGAATGTAAGTCATGAAACCATAAACATATTACAAAAAAACATAGGCAAAAATCTCTTGAATATAAACATGAGAGACTTTTTCCTGAATGCATCTCCTCAGGCAAGGAAAACAAAATAAAAAATGAACAAATGTGATGACATCAAGCTAAAAAGCTTTTGTAAAGCAAAGGACAACATCAACAGAACAAAAAGGCATCCTACAGTACGGAAGAATGTATTTGTAAATGCCATATTCAACAAGTGGTTAAAATCCAAACTATATAAAGAACTCACATGCCTCAACACCCAAAAAGCAAATTATCCAATTAAAAAATGGGCAGAGGATATGAATGGACACTTCTCCAAAGAAAAAATTAAGATGGCCAACAGGCACATGAGAGGATGCTCCACACTGCCAATTATCAGGGAAATGCAAATTGAAACCACAATGAAATATCACCTCACACCAGTTAGGATGGCCAACATCCAAAAGATAAGGAATAACAAATGCTGGTGAGAATGTGGAGAAAGGGGAACCCTCCTACACTGCTGTTGGGAATGTAAATTAGTTCAACCATTAGGGAAAGTTACATGGAGGTGCCTCAAA